TGAGATAGTATAGAGAGTAAAATAAGAGCTTATGCTTGTACTCCATGAGCTTTTCCTCCATTTTTGTGTTTTTCCCTATCTTGACAGGACAATCTGATATTGGCTCAGTTAGTGAGAGGACCGTGCTAATAATGCCAGGGTCATGCATTTGATCACTGTATGGGCCATCCACTTAAAAGCTGGACTCTGTGGTTCTTCTGGGTCCCTTCCAACTCAGACTATTCTGCAAATTCTGTAAATTTATCCTACTTAAGCCAGAATCAAGAGCTAAAGACTGCAATGTATCATAGAAAGAAGAGGGTAGAGTGAATGAGGCAGAAAGGGTCTGCAAATCTCCCCCTCTTCTTCTGTTGAAATTTTCCCCTCTGACATGGAGCACATGGAAGATAGCTCACATTTTAATGCTCAGTTCTACAGAGTCCTGGCTGTTTCTCATTCAAGCAAGCACAGTTTGTTGGAAAGAGCTGGGCTCTTCTGCACTTTGTGTCCTCTGAGAACAGGTGGTTACACAAAGACACGTTCTCCCATACGTTGTGTCACTTGTTAAGGTCAGGACTGTATCTTCAGGATTACTTCTTCTTGTCTCATCTCATATCCTTCTAAAGGGCCTTCCAAGGTCACTTGGTCAAGTTATAGGTGGGATCTGCATGGGGAAGGTTCCCACGGGTGTAACACCCTGGAAAGAGACAGGCAGGCAGGGTGACATGTACAAAGGAGCCACAGGTATGTAACTGAGTAAAACAGAGTCACCAATATCTGGATTCAGAGCAGGAAGACAGACACTGGAAGGATGAAATTGCCAGAACTGCGAGGTGTTACTAAACACAGAGAAGTTTCATCTCTGTCCCTCCTTGCTCAGTCCTTTCAAAGAAGCAAAAGGGAAGTGCCAAGGTGAAGGACACTGGAGGAGGGACTATGTGGCCATTGTGAACAGTAGCCAGCATACTCATTTCCAAGGAGTCAGAGAAGAAAAGAAGCATCATCAATATAAAGAGGCTAAGTGTCACAGGTTTTAGCAAGATCCTATGTGTGTGCAACCTCTAATAGCCAAAGTTCAGGTACCAGCCTTGGTCTGCTTTCTTATGCTGCAGCTTGTCTAAGTTTCCAGGACAGGAAGATAAAAGGATTTCAAATTTAATTTTAAAGAATAAATACATTTCAAATGTAAAATATTGAATATAGCTTTTGCCTTACTTATGTCTGGTGGCCACAGATGATTGGTTCGTGGGTTTTTTTACTCTTTCCTCTCCCTGCACACTCCTGGCTGCCTTCTGACACATCTCTGTTTGTCACCTGGTCAAACCAATTTAAAGAATGTGTCTTGATTGGGAGGGGTGCGGGGAGAGAGAAAAAAAATAGGTCATTCAGAGGGGATAGTGACCTCAGTGCCCTGTCGTTGGAGTCTGACCCAGCTTTCCCAAAGACAAAGCAAAATCTATAAAAGATGAGGTAGGGAAGAGCAACTTCTTTTTCTGATTCTTACTCTCCTGGTATTTTTTGGGAGAGTTTGCTTTTATCAGATGCTCTGAGATTTGGTAGTTTATACCACAATAAGCCTATTAAAATAATTTTTTTTTGCTATTTTTTCCCCTTGTGAAAAAGGATAAAAAGGCCATCACTTTTTTCCCCCTTGCATTAAGCTTGTGCGGAGATTGGGAGTAGCAAATAGGAGTCCCAAGAGATGCTTGGATACTGCTTTTCTATTTCATAATACATTCCTGATTTACCAAAAATGTCCACTTCCTTGCAAAAGAGCACCTTCTGAGAAAGATAAGTCAGCAAAAGGTAAACCTTCCACAATGATCCTGTGTACAGCACATGGTCCTTAGCAGTGAAAACAAACATAAAAAGGGCATGTTGGCTGTGCAGTAGCCTGTTTGGGTGTCTGTCCTTCTGAACCTCCCACATCTGGTATAATCTGTGGTTGCTGACAGACAACTTCCAACTCATGAGGTTAGATACTTAATTCAGATGAAAAAGGAATCTTCCAACTTATTTCTCTGGTTTAATCATAGAATTTGTGAGTGGTGCTTGCTGGCTTCAGGGGAGATTGGGAGAAGATTTGACAGAATTTTTATGAAATAATTTGCAGTACTATGTACTCTTGTGGTATACATTTTAGCTTTCAAATTCTTCTTTTGTGGTGATGTCTTTTTTTTCCAGTCTGAGATATTTAAATTCAAATAGCATTTGAAAATATGCAGAATCCCACTGGATAAGCTTAAGTTTTATAAAGTTTGGCCACTTTATGCCTATCATTACAATGCGGAGACTTGCAGGAGTACATCTGATACAGCTAGGTTTCTTATCCTTGGAAAAGGTCTGGAGATACTTCTTACTAGTATTTTTCCTGCACTTATGTCTTGGTTTGAAAGACAGGTATGGTCTAAGGAAAGGCAGGAGCCCCTTTTCTGCGATGCAGAGTGCAACCCCCCTCCCTTTTAATTATTTTAAATCCAATTCAGACACCTTCAGGCAGGAGATATGGGGATAAGAATAACAGTTCTTTACTGGTATCTAACAAAGCAGAAAAACAACAACAGCTATAAAAAATTGGCAACAGAAACAGTCTAGCTCAGCTCCAGTCCCTTCTGGCCGCAGGCCGTCTCCCTGTGCTGTTACCGGTGCTGTGGGGGCAGGGCAGGTCCCGCGCAGTTGAAGAGGGCTGGGTGATGGCGGCCGCGGCCCAGGGGTGAGAGGGGATGGGGAAAGTGACTCCCCCTCACGGTGTCGGTCGTGGTGCTCAGCAGAGTGTCCGGAGATAGTAGGGTGAGCTAGGAGAGCAGCAGAGCGATGTCCAAAGGCAGGGAGCGTGGATCTCAGTGCTGGGATGGCAGGGGAAGATGCCAGAGCAGAGCCCAGGTTGTCTTCCCACTCCACGAGCCAAGCGAGAGAGAGAGCCCAGCTCCAGACCCCCCGTCCCACCTTTCCTTTTCCGGTTCCCCCCCCTCCCCCTCCAGCCACCCCCCTACGAGAGAACATTATCTGTCGTTTTAAGGTGTAGCCACAATTACTTAGCATAACAATGGGAGAAAATTCCACTGAAAGAAAAGGGCTTAATTCAACCTCCAACAACTTAAAAATTCAGTTCAAACCTACCCCTTCTGAGGTAGGCTTACTGTGGACATTAATTCTCATCTGTCAAGTACTTTCTTAAAAGTGTGTATCTTGATCTGATACCATTTTTCGACATTACTGAAGCTTGCATTTCCAATACCTTGCAGTTATTCTGAAGGTTTTGTTCTGTTTAATCTGTAATTAGAAATAGAAGGCAGCATCAAGTTACATGATTTGAACTTTGAACTCCCTTCATATACCAAAAGGTTTCTTCTGCTACCAAGGGGTGAGTTTTTTAGGAAAGGAGATCTAAGGTATGAAATATGAAGCCAGTAAAGGTTTCCCCAGTACTGTAGAGGAGAAGGTATTTCCATTGAACTCATCAGTGCATGGTGATTTCTCTAACTTACGAACTTAAGATGTAGCAGGCCCCTCATTTCTGGAGAAGACACTGCTTATTTCCAGAAGTAACTAACTCATTGGGGAGCAGAAGGGATGCAGGCCTGTGCTTTCAATAGAGAGGACAGATCATACTTACAGTTTATATACTCCATGTATAAAAGCTCAGGCTAGGGCAGCTCAACCTCTGCTGCAGAAGCCACCAGGTCAGCACCAAGTGATAGAAGGGCTGATGTCTGTACTTAACATCTTTTCCCTTCAAAGCATTTAAGATGGGGTTAAGTGAAAGAAATACTTGCTGTGACACTTGTCTGATATGGCTGTCTTCCTCCAAAAATACCGATAAATACAGCTGTGAATCCCAAGAGAAGGTTTTGCTTCCTGCAGGCTATTCTTCGGGTTTCCTGCTGATCCCTTTCAAACAATAATAAATCTTAACTTTTATTCTCTGTTCTGTGCAAACTGAAGACCAGTTGTACAAATTCGATTTTGCATTGAAATTAAAAACAGATGTGTGCTGCACAAAAGCACACATTCGAGTTTAACTTCTAGAAAGTGAAGCAGACTGCATCTTTGAAGCTAAACTTATGAGGAAATGTTAAGAACTTACTTTAGTCAAATATTTTTGAAATTTGTGGTACAGATTTTATGTGACTGATACTGATCTGACCGCTTGAATAATTTTTGTACATTCATACAGAAGGCAGAAGAGCTGAGAAAGCATGAAGAAGCCTTCAGAGCTTGATGTAACTACTTCTGAAAAATCAGCCTGGTGATTTCTGAAACACAGGGATCTGACACCACTTTTGCTTGCTCAGTACTTTGTGTATAAAGATGTTCAAACCTAGTAATTGAAAGTGACAGCCCTTGTGAGTGCTTAGCGTACATGTGGATACAATGTGAGAGCAGCAGGTGGTATTTGATTGCTGATACTTTTTGAATATGAGTATTTCA